TGTGACCTCAACCAAACATACTGATATGACTACACCCTATCGCTCAATATCTGAAGTGTCAGACACAGAACCCACAGCAATGACAACATCAATTGAAACTAGCACTGGTGTGACCTCAACCAAACATACTGATATGACTACACCCCATATGTCAACATCGGAGGTTGCCTCTACGGAATTGGACTCTGAAGTTACCACTATAGAAGTTACCACAATGACAGGATCAGTTGAAACTAGCACTAATTCAACCTCAACCGAACCAACTAATGTGACTGCACTTTATGAGTCAACATCGAAAGTTTCATCTTCTGAATCTATCTCAGACGTAACTACTGTTGAACCTACAGTGATACCATTATCATCATTATCTGAAATTAGCTTTGATATGACCTCAACCCCACATACTGATACTACTACAACCTATCGCTCAATATCTGAAGTTACCACTGTAGAAGCCACCACAATGACAGGGTCAGTTGAAACTAGCACTGGTGTGACCTTAACCAAACCAACTAATGTGACTGCACTTTATGAGTCAACATCAAAAGTAACATCTTCCGAATCTATCTCAGACGTAACCACTATGGAACCTACAGTGATACCATCATCATCATATGAAACTAGCTCTGATGTGACCTCAACCCAATATGCTGATATGACAACACCCTATCACTCAATATCTGAGGTGTCAGACACAGAACCCACAGCAATGACAACATCAATTGAAACTAGCGCTGGTGTGACCTCAACCAAACATACTGATATGACTACACCCTATCGCTCAATATCTGAAGTGTCAGACACAGAACCCACAGCAATGACAGCATCAATTGAAACTAGCACTGGTGTGACCTCAACCAAACATACTGATATGACTACACCCCATATGTCAACATCGGAGGTTGCCTCTACTGAATTGGATTCTGAAGTTACCACTGTAGAAATTACCACAATGGCAGGATCAGTTGAAACTAGCACTGATGTAACCTCAACCGAACCAACTAATGTGACTGCACTTTATGAGTCAACATCAAAAGTTTCATCTTCTGAATCTATCTCAGACGTAACTACTGTTGAACCTACAGTGATACCATCATCATCATCATTATCTGAAACTAGCTTTGATATGACCTCAACCCCACATACTGATACTACTACAACCTATCGCTCAATATCTGAAGTTACCACTGTAGAAGCCACCACAATGACAGGGTCAGTTGAAACTAGCACTGGTGTGATCTTAACCGAACCAACTAATGTGACTGCACTTTATGAGTCAACATCAAAGTAACATCTTCTGAATCTATCTCAGACGGAACCACTAGGGAACATACAGTGATACCATCATCATCATATGAAACTAGCTCTGATGTGACCTCAACCCAACATACTGATAAGACTACATCATATCACTCAATATCTGAGGTGTCAGACACCAGAACCCACAGCAATGACAATATCAATTGAAACTGGCACTGGTGTGACCTCAACCAAACATCTGATACTACTACACCCTATCGCTCAATATCTGATGTTACCACTGTAGAAGCCACCACAATGACAGGATCAGTTGAAACTAGCACTGATGTAACCTCAACCGAACCAACTAATGTGACTGCACTTTATGAGTCAACATCAAAAGTAACATCTTCTGAATCTATCTCAGACGTAACCACTATGGAACCTACAGTGATACCATCATCATCATATGAAACTAGCTCTGATGTGACCTCAACCCAACATACTGATAAGACTACGTCCTATCACTCAATATCTGAGGTGTCAGACACAGAACCTACAGCAATGACAACATCAATAGAAACTGGCACTGGTGTGACCTCAACCAAACATACTGATATGACTACACCCTATCGCTCAATATCTGAAGTGTCAAACACGGAACCTACAACAATGACAGCATCAATTGAAACTAGCACTGGTGTGACCTCAACCAAACATACTGATATGACTATACCCTATATGTCAACATCGGAGGTTGCCTCTACGGAATTGGACTCTGAAGTTACCACTGTAGAAGTCACCACAATGGCAGGATCAGTTGAAACTAGCACTGATGTAACCTCAACCGAACCAACTAATGTGACTGCACTTTATGAGTCAACATCGAAAGTTTCATCTTCTGAATCTATCTCAGACGTAACTACTGTTGAACATACAGTGATACCATCATCATCATCATTATCTGAAACTAGCTTTGATATGACCTCAACCCCACATACTGATACTACTACAACCTATCGCTCAATATCTGAAGTTACCACTGTAGAAGCCACCACAATGACAGGGTCAGTTGAAACTAGCACTGGTGTGACCTTAA